AGCCACCCAGGTGCCCCTCACCTCCTGGTCTTATTGAATGCTGACTTTTCTCTGGATTTGGTCTCTCTGCAACTTTCTTGAATTTATGTGTTTTTATTTTTGTCTTTTTGTTCTCATTTATTCATGCACACCAGGTTCAGAGATGAGTTCAGCTCTCTCCTCATTCTGTAATCCTCTGATTTTATGTAAAAATCCTGTTCCATGAAGGATTTTGAGACATTTGTATATACCATTCTCTACCTTGCCTCATTCCTGGGTTATGAGCTTACATCCCTATCTACCTAGCTCACAATCTTATCCATGTCCAAGGACACCTGGTGGCTCAGTCGGTTGGGCATCAGCTTTTGGCTCAGGTCGTGATCCCAGGGTCTTGGGATCGGGTCCTGCATTGGGCTCCCTGCTCAGTGGGGAGCCTGCTTCTCCCTCTACCTGCTGCTCACCCTCTCTCTCTTTCTCTCTGACAAATAAATAAATAAAATCGTCAAACAAAAAAAATCTTATCCATGCCCATTTTTTCAACCATCATCTAAAGTTGATAACTCCCAAAGGTATATAGTGAGCTCAAATCTTTCTCTTAAACTTCATATCTAACTGCCTCCTGGATATAGCCATCTGGCAATTCTTTAAGCATTTCTTTTTTTTTTTTAAAGATTAAAAAAAAAAGGTTTTATTTTCAAGTAATTTCTACACCCAATTTGGGGCTCAAACTCACAACTCTGAGATCAAGGGCCGCAAGCTCTTCTGATTGAGCCAGCCAGGTGCCCCAATCATTCCTAACTCAACATATGGAAAATTGGAAAAGCAGAAACCTGGGGGTCTTTCTTGATTCCTTCTCCCCCTCATACCTCCTTTTGATTCTATTATCCTAATATCTCTGACCAATTCTTTTGTTTTTTTAAAATCACTATTTACTTCAGATTTCCCATTTTTTAATATGAATTATGAAAACAATATCTTAACTGTTCTTTTCAGCCCAAGACATTCTCCATAACACTGCAGCCTAAAATGCAATCTAATTATGTCATTCCCTAAATGGTTCCCTATATAACCAGGTTAAAGTCCAAGATTTTTAACATAGTACACAAGACCCCTTTAGGAAATAGCCCCAGTCTGTCTTTCCAGTTTTGTATCCTACCACTCCCTCACTCTCATGTTCCAGCTATAATGAATTTATTCTACATTGGTTGAGCCTCCCTCTTCTGCAGTTGGTGAATTATTTTTGCCATTTAAGTTATCTCAGGACTTTCTCCTCTAAGGTCCCTCAATTTGAGAGTAACTGACACTCCTTGTTCTCTTAATACCTTGTCCATATCTCTATCATAATGTTTATCACACTGTATTGTGGGACCATAATTTTCCTATCTGAATTCTCTTCATATTTCCAGGATTTAGCACAGTGCTGGGTGTTTGGTAGATATAAGCTGTGGCTAGATCGTGTGCGGCATTTCAAGACTAAGGTTTACTTTGCAGCACTTGCTGAATGTGGCTATGTAATGAAAAGGAGGATGGAATAATATTGCATTTAGGAGGGAAGCTGAATCCACTGAACTCACTTTCAAAATTATGAGGATTCTGTAGCTAGGTTGAGGTACAGAGGGCAGTGGAGAAATAGAAAAAGATTGAAGATGTAGGAGAGGTGATGGAAATAAGGTCACTTGGAAAGGAGGAAAGGTTGTAAGTTTTCCTCAAAATATTTTTTTTAGCTTTTGAAGGCCTACAAGTTATCGGTCTCATCAAGGGCTGGGCTCAATTTATCTCAAGATAATATTCTTGACCAGGGATTCATGTTACACATTTACTTATTAAACAGACCTTTCATCTCTTCTTGGGTTCAGAAGGGAAATGGATAAAGAAGTATTCTTGGTAGAAGTTAAGGATTAAAAGTTTACTAAAAAATCTTGAGTTGTGGGCGCCTGAGTGGCTCAGTTGGTTAATCGACTGCCTTCGGCTCAGGTCATGATCCTGGAGTCCCTGGATTGAGTCCCGCATCGGGCTCCCTGCTCGGCAGGGAGTCTGCTTCTCCCTCTGACCCTCCCGACCCTCCCCCTTCTCATGCTCTCTCTCTGTCTCTCTCTCTCAAATAAATAAATAAAATCTTTAAAAAAAAAAAAATCTTGAGTTGTATCACAGTCAATGCTACTAGGATGGCTGGTATGGTTTCAAAGTATATGCCTGGGATATGATGACATTTTAGAAAGGTCTTGACACTTAAAATAGATGTTGTTTTATATATATATATATTTATATATATATATTTTATATATATATTTATATACATACACATATACATACATATATATATTTTATATATATATATACATACACACACAGCAATAAATGTTCTTTCATGTTTTTGAGTGCATTCTGATTAATGAAATATTCTGGTTTTAATACCTGTTTTATTATATAATCTGAATTACTAATTAAGAAGATGAAGCTCGGATGTTAAAAATAGCTTATATTAAAACTACATAGTATGGTGGCGCCTGGGTGGCTCAGTCGTTACGCGTCTGCCTTCGGCTCAGGTCATGATCCCAGGGTCCTGGGATCGAGCACCGCATCGGGCCCCCTGCTCCATGGGGAGTCTGCTTCTCCCTCTCCCACTCCCCCTGCTTGTGTTCCCTCTCTCTGTCAAATAAATTAATTAATTAAATATTAAAAAAACAAACTACATAGTATGAGTAAGAAGGGAGTGTCAGGGCTTCAGACATCACTCTGAACTCCCACAAACACTTATGGAGAGCAAATTACTCTGAACAAAGTACTGTGTTAGAGCTGAGAGGGACACAAATATTTAAGATGTGGCTCCTGCCTCTTAGAAGGTATATTAGCTAGTATAGAGTTCCAATTAACCAAATGCATAAGTGATTATTAGTAGATTATGTTACATATATTTTACTTTCCGTTTTCTATTCTGATAAGGCTCTCTTATCATTTCCCTTTTAAATCTTTCCCAACTATCAAAATTCTCTGTGCTTCAGAAATGGACTGTAGTGGCTAAACAAAGTGCTTTGTCCTTAGCAGCACTAATTGTGTATTTGTTGCACTGAAATGAATATCTTGTCCAGCTTTAACTCTCCTATGCTTGGCAATTGGCTGAATTGGAAAGTCAAAGACATGTTTAAAAGTGAGGACAGAATATTGCTGAGTATTGCAGCTGCCAAGAATCTCCGTTTAAAACCTAAAGTCTGTTACATAAATTATGTACTCTTTAAACCCTCTTCCATGTTCATTTACACAACTGATCATTGAAATTACTTTAGAATATGCATATCAATTATTTAGCATATTTTAAAAGCTTCCTTAATAACATCTTTAATAAGTGGATGCAATTATGTATTTATTTACTGCAAACAGTTATGAATAACAGATAACCTAATTATAGTTTATCATTACCTCTAATCATTCCAATGGAAAGGTTTCTCTTACTGCATTCATATTGTTGGTGCATGAGTATGGAAAGCAGCAGATTGTTTTCTGTGATCATAGATTTTAAATATTTACTCGCTAGTGCTGCATAATTCAGCACACTGTAGTTGGAAAGCAGTTTGTATGGTAGTGGATGCCTTGTCGGTGTTACAGAATACAGTTTCCCTCTGTGACTTCTGTGTGAGGTTGTAAAAATGGAAAGTATTCTACTTCGTTTTTCTAACCAATTAAAATCTGTTTAGCTGTAAATCCATAGAAAACCAATGTTTATGGTATATATCAATTTTATTTTGTGTAATTACCATATAGTTTAAGAATTCAAGCATTGTTTCTCATGGGCTACTAGTGCACAATATCAAAAATAAAATATATTCATTCAGGGGTGCCTGGGTGGCTCAGTCGTTAGGCGTCTGCCTTCGGCTCAGGTCATGATCCCAGGGTCCTGGGATCGAGCCCCGCATCAGGCTCCCTGTTCCGCGGGAAATCTACTTCTCCCTCTCCCACTCCCCCTGCTGTGTTCCCTCTCTCGCTGTCTCTCTTTCTGTCAAATAAATAAATAAAATTAAAAAAAATATATTCATTCTTGGTAATCTAAATCTTTATGAAAGTAACAAAAAGGCATCCAGACAGCTTGTTTGATACATGCTATCTGTCCTAAGAAATCAAAACAAAGTTCTGTATTTTAAAATATGGAACCACAGGCTATTTAATGAGGCAAGAAAACAGTTATTTTGTTTTGTTCACTCTAATAAATGTTACATTTAAGATCTTGCTATATCCTTTGTGTGATTGGTTACTTGATTGCCTTACCACATAATAGAAAATAAATAGTTCTAGTTATAATGAAAATAATCCAAACCATTAACCCGTTAAAAAAGTGAAAAAATTTTAAAATTTAATTTTGAACTTTCAACTCGGCATTCTGAAAGATTTCCTTTGCCATGTGGGTGCACAGTCCGGCAGTACAGATTGTTAATTTTTCACTCCCAGCTCTTACTATAATTTCTTACGCAATTCAGGAGCATGTGTGGCAGTCCTTGTTCCAACACAATCTTTCAGTACTGCAAAACGACCTAGGGTTACACTTCGCAATAATTTAGTATCATACTCCTTATGAGTGTGGATAAAAATTTCCATTTCATAAAAAGCGTTTATACTCTCTTGAGTTTCAATCCTTGAAAATAATCGGAATGTGGAAAATGCACACATTCCTTAATATTTTATAAGTATTTACCTACCGTCTCAACTATAGCTTGGCTTAGAGAACCTTCACAACAGGATAGCACAGAATAGCGGCATTTTTATCAAAATGGGTCTACATTTTTCCAAGGAATTTAGTGACTCCTCTGAAATCACATCTCGGGTCTGCGGCTGTCAGGAGGAGAGCAAAGAATGAGGGGGCGCAGTGCATACTGGGTCTTGTAGTTCTGGTGCCAAAGGAGAGGGCGTGGCGTGGCGTGGCACGCTGGGAGTTGAAGTCCAATTGTCCCGCGGGAACTCCAAGCAGGCGTAATGTGGATTGTCTATCAGAGACACCAATTACAGATAGATACTTTCCCTTGGCTCTGCGCTTGCCGTATTGGTGACCTAGGGGTGGCGAACAGTGGGGAAAAAGGATGAAGTGGAGCATGGCTCTGTGGGCCGTTGATGTTGCTACGACTAATCAAAAGGATTTAGTGCCCCGGAAGTGGCTGACCTACTGGGATCGAAGGGGGAGGCCTTTCCTCTTACTACGGTGGCCGGGGAGCTCGAGTGTCTGTGGCTGCGGCGCTGAGGTCGGAGCGTCTGCGTGTGTACTGGCTGCTTTTGGGGCGGCTGCTGCTAGAGCTGGAACATTTCCCGGGTTGGTGGCTCCTGCACATTTTTTACACTTCTCCAGTTCTGTTTCGGTGAGGGGCGATTTGAGCCTAGCGGAGTCAGGAGAAGGTTGGGACTTAGTGTTTCTGGTCCCCAAATGACCGGGTTTTTGGGGGACCCTGCCCTCTGTGGAGATCCTGTGGCCAACTGTTTAGGCTCTCTTTGAGGATTTTGGCGCCTCCCTCATCTACTTTCTAGTGTAATTTGTCTTCTGACCCCTGGCCCTTCCTGGGCTCCAAACCTAACAAACCGTAAGCCTTCCTGTAGGCAGCTGTTCCCCTCTCCTTGTAGCTTTTCTTGGTATTCCAGATACGACCTCTTGTCCCCTAAGCTATCGCATCCGTTTAACTTTTTCCCATTTAAAAAAAAAAACAAACAAACGAGAGAGAGAAATGAAAATCAGAACCAAAAATTAGATTCTGAAGGTCTCAATCTTCTCATTCCTAATACCTTTCCTCCTTTTTGGCCTTTGTTACTTCTGCAGACCTTAACACACTCGCTTGAATATCTTTTTTTTTTTTTTTAAGATTTTATTATTTATTTGGGAGAGAATGAGATAGAGAGAGAACATGAGAGAGGGGAGGGTCAGAGGGAGAAGCAGACTCCCCGCTGAGCAGGGAGCCCGATGCGGGACTCGATCCGGGGACTCCAGGATCATGACCTGAGCCGAAGGCAGTCGCTTAACCGACTGAGCCACCCAGGTGCCCCTCGCTTGAATATCTTAATGCCTTTCCATCCAGACATTAACGTTCACTCCCTTTTTCTGGTTCTCACGCATCCTCAACGCTTCCACCTCCATCCCATCTAAGGGCTTTATAGGTTGGAAGTTCGAATACATTCTTAGGATGACTGGTGAATCTGAGAGACGTCAGTGGTCAACTCGGCATATCTCTGCTTATAGAGTTTCTATTTATTTAAGATTTCTTTGGCTTCCATTTTCGTTTTGTGTTGATTATTTTCCCACAAGGGGTTTGCTGCTACTCTACAGTTAGAGGAGAATACCTTGTCCGACAGCTCTTTGTATCTGAATTACTTAGGTGGGATATTTCCCCCCTCTATTCTTAGTCGGGACATATATCCCCTGTGGAATTTGCAATGATTTTGTGTCAGTTAATAGCAGATAGACACAAGGGAATGCTCTTTCTTTCTTGCTTGCTTGTGATCTCTTAATTAGATAATGAGTCATTGAAAGTAACCAGAGGGATTGGAAAAGCTTTAAAAGGTAAAGTCTATGTATGTTCCAGTTTACAAATTAATAAAGCTTCTTTCCTGAAGGAAGAGTTTCTAATTGGTACAATAATCTGATGCTATATTGATTTATCAGTTCATTCTCTGTAAAATTTTGGGAACGGTTTAAAGTTAAAAATTAGCCAATATAAGGAATTGATAATGGAGTAAAAAAGGTTTAAAAACCATTTAACTAATGCTCTTTTTCTCTAAAATGGAATGCAAATATGTTGAAAAATTTATTTGTTGTAATTATTTGTGGTATATATTTTTTTAAGATTTTATTTATTTAGGGGCACCTGGGTGGCTCAGTCGTTAAGCACCTGCCTTCTGCTCGGGTCATGATCCCAGGGTCCAGGGATCGAGCCCCGCACTGGGTTCCCTGCTCCACGGGAAGCCTGCTTCTCTCTCTTCCATTCCCCCTGCTTGTGTTCCCTCTCTTGCTGTGTCTATCTCTATCAAATAAATAAAGTATTAAAAAAAAGATTTTATTTATTTGAGAGGGAGAGAGAGAGATGATAGCAAGAGAGCACAAGCATGGGGAAGAGGGGAAAAGCAGGCTCCCCGCCCAGCAGGAAGCACAATGTGGGGCCTGATCCCAGGACTCTGGGATGATGACCTGAGCTGAAAGCAGACACTTAACTGACTGAGCCACCCAGGCGCCCCATGGTGTATTTTTATTTTTTTTTTTTTTTTTTAAAGATTTTATTTATTTATTCATGAGAGACAGAGAGAGAGAGAGGCAGAGGGAGAAGCAGGCTCCCAAGGAGCAGCGAGCCCGATGTGGGACTCGATCCCAGGACCCTGGGATCATGACCTGAGCCGAAGGCAGACGCTCAACCATCTGAGCCACCCAGGCGCCCCCATGGTGTATTTTTATATATTTTGATACAGCTGGTAAAACAGCATTGTATACTCTTCACTAATACTTTGTAGACAGAAATTTTTGTACTTCCTGGCTTTATGGGGACTGTGTAACTCAAATAAGTTTGCAGTTTTTCTTTTCTTCTGATTATTGCACTATGGAAATCCTAATAGTAAAACTTTTGTTCTTCTTTGAGCAGTCAAATATAATCTATACATGTCAGTAAAATATAAATACTTGTACCCTGTCAAATTGGATTATTCCTAATTAGTCAGAAATGCTTTCAGCCATGCTTATGATTTGGAGCTAAATATATATTTCAGATTTAATTCACTCATAGAATTCTTGATTGGATAAACAATTAAGAGGCTAGATATTATGCAAACTTTTGATATTTTTCCTGAGATTTTATTCATTTTGTAAGCATTTATTGAATATGTCTTGCTATTTAACTATTGTCAGAAAAATCATCAAGGGCGCCTGGGTGGCTCAGTCATTAAGCATCTGCCTTCCGCTCAGGTCATGATCTCAGGGTCCTGGGATCGAGTCCCGCATTGGGCTCCCTGCTCAGCAGGGTCTGCTTCTCCCTATCCCTCTGCTGCTCCCCCTGCTTGTGCTCTCTCTCAAATAAATAAAATCTTTAAAAGAAAAAAAAATCATCAAAACATTTATTGAGAGCATCCTCTTGTCCTCAGCTCTGTACTAGATGCTGTTAAAGCATTATTGGATTTAATCAATATAACAACTCAGTGAGCTGGTGAACATTATTTACATTTAGCAGATGAAGAAACTGAAGCTCAAACAGTTCAAGTCATTTCATTAGTCCAGTTCGTTTTGACTCTTCCCACTATACCACAGCTGCAAAGATGTGTTCTCTATCCTGGAATATATAAGGAACATTAATTCAATAAGTATTTTTTGAAGCAGCTGTTATTTGGTACATGATATACGTTATCTGTTGCTGGAGATATAACAGTGAACAAAAGAGACAAAAGTCCCTGCTCTTGAGGAACTTACATTATAGCAGAATGTATGGGATGTAAACCTTGCCTTCAAGAAGCAGCAAGTACAACCAATATGCTGCATTAGATTTTATGTGTTTTAGAATGTTAAAGTTGAGGGGCGCCTAAGTGGCTCAGATGGTTAAGCGTCTGCCTTCAGCTCAGGTCATGATCCCAGGGTCCTGGGATCGAGTCCTGCATCGGGCTCCCTGCTCAGTGGGGAGCCTGCTTCTCCCTCTGCCTCTGCCTCTCTCTCTCTCTCTCTCTCTGATTCTCATGAATAAATAAATAAAACATTTAAAAAAAATGTTAAAGTTGAAAAGAGAGATTAACTAGGAATGATTTAACGAAGAAGATGAGATTTAATCTAGAACTAAAGTAGTGACTGTAGATCTGGTAGGTAGAAACGGGGAGGAAAGTGATTCTAGCTTGAGGCATAAAAAGAAGAAAATTCTGAATTGTAGGGGAGAGATAAAAGAGGGAAGGACAAATAACTGGACTGCTTTGTATCTTTAGTTCCTTGCACACACAAGTGCACAGTTTTGGTTGAATTTGAAACAAATGTTTAAATGAATGAAGCTCTGACAAGAGTTCAGATATATAGCAAGGAGGAATTAGATAGATCTAGTGTTATTTTAGTGGGACTGGGAGAAAGGAATAGATTTGATAGCTGTTGGTGAAAGAACCAGTAGGTTCTGTTAATATTCAGTGTTGGGAGTAGCGTGGTGGCCAAAGGAGAAAGGGAGGCTAGATTACCAAGTTTGAACTGAGTGGACCAGGTGTGTTATTGATTTACTTATTTCATCAAATCATGAGATTAAAAAAAAAATTCCAAGATGCACCTTTGTTTTATGAACCAGTATGAAAGAAAAAAATATTGCCAATGTAACAAAGATCGTCAACTATAAGATGTATTCATTTTCAGAGTTAGAATGTAAATGTATGATCTAGAAATGATGAAATAAAGTACTCCTTATGGTTGGTGGACCTTATAACTAATTTTTTCTGTTTATAAATAAACTTGCAATCTTTGACATGCATTCAATCATTTAGCATTTATTAACTGGGCAGTCTCCTAGGTCACAATGATGAAATGGTGAGTAAATACAATTTCTACCCGCATAGAACATATTGTATAACTGGGGAGGCAGACATAAATCAAATGTTCAAAGAAATTTAAAGTTTGCAGTTATTTAAGTGCTATAAGAAAGGACTTGATGTTATACAGAGGAAAAACTGCTTACAAGAGGGACAGCAGTGTAGATAGGGAGAGGCCAGATGAAAAGATGAAAATATCCTGGGCAAGATGGTGGTGAAGATGGAAGTGGGTGGATTTAGAGATATTTAGGAGGTGGAACTAGGTGATAGACTGGATGTGAGGAATGAGGGAGAGGAAGGTGGTGCCTAGCTTTTTGGCTTATGTAATTGGATGGATAGTGGTACAGTTCATTGAGAGAACACTATAGGATGACCAGGTTTGGGGGGACATGGTTTGTTTGTTAATATTTTTTTATGGTGGCATCAGTTTTCAAGGTTAATTTCTTGTTTTTTTCTTTTATGTCATTGTTTGAATTAAGTATACTTGAGGAATGGTGTACCTGAAATAAATTTTTTCAGTGTTTTTTTTTTTTTTCTTGAGTGAGCAGGGATAAAGTTCTAGATGAAAGCATTTGGAAATATGTTGGTATTTGTTCTGAATTTATATGTAACATATTCAACCATATATATGAATAGGTATATGATCTTTATTTTCACGTGGGATTATGGGCAATAAATTGGGCATCTGGTTAAATTCTAACTTCATTCAATTAGTGTATATGTAAATTTAAATGTGTATTAGGGAAGAAAGACATGCTCTTGATTTTTCCTTGAAATGTCTCCTTTGTGTAACTT